CTCCACCGTAATCTGGGGGATATTTACGAAGATCCCATACTCGTCGACTTTGTCATCGGCAAAGATATGCTGGGATATCAAATCTAGTAAGATAATGCCCCTTCCCTTCAACTCGTATTCAGCACTGACATGACCTTTCTCATGTGTAGAGGATGGATCTTTCAGACCCTAGCAGCCGAGGGAGTTTTGACGGGCACCGGAGGACTGGTGAACGGCTTCCCATCGGGTTTGTATCTCGGTCTGCTAGCGTTCATTCGCCGGGGGTCTAAACTCTTGTATACCTTGTCCGACTGAGATGTACTATTAGCAAAGTTCTAGCAATGTGATTTTTGTAACCGATACGTTACGACACAGATTTTGTCCGGATCTCAGGTACTTTCCTTTGTCAAAACATATATGTGGGGCTGTACTAAACACATTTCACGGATATCTTACGGATGTGCAAAACGTTGACCCAATCAGGTCATGGTATGCCGTTCCTTGTAGAGACTTATAGCGAACCTTCGTTGATGACACTGTCCTTTCGCCTTCTCAGTGTCATCGGCTTGATACCGCATTAAATGTCATCACAATGAATAACCTTAGATGTAGACCCTGAGATCAACTGAAGCAATTTTCCTCACCTCAGCGAAACGAGAATTACCGCACGAGACCTCAGGTGTATACTTCGCCAGAAATTCCGGGCCCAGTCTGTGTGCGGATCCAATCTATTATATCTCCTATGCGAAGTGCATCTTGCTACAGGGTGGTAACATCGATGGAGGCTTTCGAAGCAAGACGCACTCGAGCTCTGAGCACACCAGGAACCGTGCCGGCCAGCGTTCGAGAACTCCATTCGTGAGATTTCTCTGTACCTAGTAGCTTCCACTTCTGCGCCATGCAATCAAAGTACCCCATATATTGCAGGGGCCCGCGTTCGAGTCCGTGTGTGCATTAGACATATCCTTGCTCGGCTGTACCTCTCCACCGCCAGCTGGTGATTGAGACACAGATCACAGTGGTATGGTCATAGACTGACCTTCCAAGTGAATGTCATGCTCTCGGGGTATCCCAAGCTCGAACGGGAGAGGAAGGCTGGCAACCATGACGATGACCAGCCTAAGGTTGGATTAAGAATGTGAGACTAGGACGCGCGCCGTGACACCCAGATACATCCTGCCTCGCTGCACCCGAGGGTTGTTGTCCCGCTCGTCAGAGAGACGAGAAAAGTTGTCAGAGTCGTTTTGACATCTGGCCCATCGTCCACTCGCCCACCTCGCACTACCACGCGTCTGCGACCTCGTCCGAAACTGCGCTCACCTTGCGGAAAATACATCGATGAGGGCGTAGAGCGTAACAGTAATCTGCTCGAGTGTTTCGCCGAGGTCCCAGCGGTAAACAAGGCGGGCAACGTTGGGAGAAACCTCACCGAAGCGGCGGGGTCGGACCTGATCGTGGGAAAGTGCCCAGAGACGGAAACGAAGACTCGGAAGAGCAAAGCTGAGAGTTTTGTCCAGTACCGGTCATGTCCAATCTTAAAAGAAAGAGGGGAACAGAGACGCACAAAACCAGCCCAAAGGTGAGAATTATCTATGGCGTTTTCTCCCTCCCGCTAATGGACAATTGCAGAGGCGTCGACCCGGTCTCGAAAATGTGTCAGACGCTGCGTCCATTCCGCGCAAACAGAGCTTGGAGGACGGTGTCGCCAATGAGGAGGACGAATATGCGGAAAGCGAGGGCTCCGTTCAGGACGGAATAATGGAGGAGTGGTCGGGCATTAGTGAGCAAGGCAAGAACATGGAGGCAGCCGGTCATTCTGGCACGCATACCCATAAACCTCCGAGAGGAGAAGAGCTGAGGGATATCAAAGATGCCGCCGACCTGTACAGGTCAACGTCGTTCAAGCTTCAGGTGAGCAAAATTTTGCACGCGTACGTTCATGCGCAGCGTTTCCACGTCTTATTACAAGACTTTCAGATCGACGTCCTTCTACCCAACATACGGCCCAAATATGCACGCTCTGCCCCGCTCGAACGCTTTCTGTTCACCTTATATACCTTCCTGAAAGATCTTTCTCCCGTTGCTCCGCAACACCCGCTTTCAGCTTCTCGCGACTTGCTCAAAAAAGGGATTGCCGTGCCTTATCCACTGCCTCTTCCCACGGAAGACACGAATTGGAAAGTATCATTTGAAAAACCAAGCGACATTTTATTAGTCGGTAGCTGGGCAGTCAAGATGAGCGTGAAAGCGAAAGACCAGCGTCGGTATGTTGCTGATGTCGCTGTGACCATGCCGGAAGTATGTGAATCCCGTAAACAACCTTCTACAATCTGACCATGCTCGAACTCTGTATGTTAGACTTTGTTCCAAGAAAAAGACTATATGAATAGTCGGTTCTTCCACAAGCGTGCCTACTACCTTGCGGTCATTGCCGGTGCCGTATCCAACAAGAAAAGTGGCATGGACGTCGATGTCTTCTACGAGTCTGCATCCGGCGATCCTCGTCTGACCACTTTAGTGCTCCGTCCAAAACACGGTATGCTTGCTCACACTCGTATACGCTCTGCCTCACACGATGCAGATCAGTCCGCTGTTGACTTCACATCCTTGAACGTGGAAGTCCGCATCATGCCCGTGCTTCCATCTTCCTCCCCGATCCCGCTACAGCGTCTATCGCCCTCACGTTCCAACATCCGTATTTCCTCCAATGATGCGCCTTCTCCGCTCTGCAATTCCGCGCTTCTTCTCTGCACAACATACAAATCGCATATGATCACTATGCACGCGCTTGCGGAGTCTGTTCCCGCATTCGCCGATGCGCTTGCGTTGCTCCGTGTTTGGGCCAATCAGCGCGGATACGGCGTAGGTGATCGGTTATGCATGCGGCATTTCGACACTCGTGGACCATGGTGGGCCGCAGTGCTCGAGCTGCTCGTGAATGGTGAAGAATCTCTTCCTGGGACAACCTTCCATAAGACAGCGAAGAGAAAACCTCTAGGAAAAGGACTAAGTTCATACCAGTTATTCAAAGCGGCGCTGGATCTTCTGGGTAAGATGCAGTCTTTATGGCATACTGTAATTATCTGATTGAAGTGCGTCGAGATAGCGCGGCACGATTTTGAAAAGGAACACATCTTTGTCAAAACGAACGACGGACACAGAGTATGTTTTTTTTTTCGTACTACATGTTAAAAGGCATGGGCTGACCGTCGTGAGAGGTAGTTCCCTCCCGAAGATTATGCGCTTCACGAAGCTGTTTTTGTGGACTCGACCTCGACCGTGAATCTCCTGGCCGGCGTTCCGCTCAGCGCTCTGGAAATGGTGAGCGCTTCTTTGCCCCTTAGTGCGAATGTATTGACTGGCGATCATTTCTGTCAGCTACGTCATGACGCAAAAATGACTTTGGACATATTGGATCACTCCAATCTTTCAGAAGACCCCTTCGATGCTGTATTCATGCGAGACAAGCGAGACGTAGCCACACGCTTTGACATTGTTCTCCGGTATGTATTTTCTCGATTGCATTTGTTCTTCTCTTCTAATATATGCATATAGATTGAACTTATCGTCCGCAAAACTTCGCGACCCTAATACCCACGCTAGCGTCGAACACGGCTCTGCTTATAACGCGCTACTCGAACATCTCGTCTCCTGCCTCTACCGAGGACTCGGCAATCGCACGAAGGCCATTTCTGTTCTCCACCCTGCACCTCAAGCGCGCCCCGTGTCCCAAGCGCATCCGTCCAATCCGTCGACTATCCATGTCGGCCTACTTCTCGATACTGAACACGCATTTCGACTTGTGGATCACGGCCCCACAGCCGAAGAACAGGACAGCGAAGCTGCCCAGGCTTTCCGCGAATTCTGGGGCGAGAAAGCGGAGCTGCGACGATTCAAGGACGGGAGCATCGTGGAGAGTGTCGTCTGGTCGGTGAGCACCGCCGATGAGCGCACACACATCCCAGTCCACATCGCCCGACATGTCCTCGCGCGCCATTGTGGGCTTATTGGAGATGCAGTGCGCACCTGGCAGACGCAATTCGACAGCGTGGTACGCTTACCAGAATCGATCACTGGGATATACCGTACAACCGGTGCTCAAACAGGTTTCAAGGCTGCTATGTCCGCGTTCGACGAGCTCGTGAGAGCAATGAAGGGACTGGACGACCGTATTCCGCTGGCAATCCTGACCGTCAGCCCTATCGCGGAGGCTCTGCGTTACACGAGCGTGCACAGTCCTGTTGCAGCACCCGGGCCAGTGATTTTTGCCCTCCCGCAATTCGCACGATACGTGGAGCCGATGGAAATTGTGATCGAGTTCGAGAAGTCGGCGCGCTGGCCGGATGACCTTCGAGCAATCCAAAAAATTAAGCTTGCTTTCTTCGAGGCGCTCGCCTCCGCGCTCGCCACTTCGATCAAAGGTCTCACTGCCTCTGTTGTTGTCGGACATGGCGCGGAGAGCTCAGATATCGCCGATCAAGCCTGTCTGGAGATCGTCACGGCTGACGGCTGGGCATTCCGCGCGCGGATATGGCACGATCGCGAAGCGATACTTCTAAGCAGGCTCATCGATGACAAGCCGCATATCGCACCCCATATGAAGCGTCAGAGAGAGGGCGACCCTCAAGAACGTCAAGCAGCGTTGTCAGCACAAGAAGTATATCAACGGCGATTTGTTCATGCACCACGCCATCACCGTGCGATAGCCGCCTTGTGCCATAGTTTCTCGGCGTTTGCGGGGACAGTGAGGCTCGTGAAGCGGTGGTTCGCTGCGCATTGGCTTCTCAGAGGTCACGTCAGCGTGGAGGCCGTTGAACTCTTATGCGCGAGCGTGTTCTTACGATCTGCACAATCTACAGTAGAAGGCTTGGGCAGTCCGGGCTCGAAGGAACGTGGGTTCGCGTTAGTCGTTGAGCTTCTCAAGGACTGGGAGTGGAGCCAAGGCATGTATATCCCATTGTATCATGGCACCGATGACGGCGGCGACAAGACACCAGCTGTGACGGTGACCGCCGGTGCGAAAACGGGAGTATGGGCTCTCGCGACCGAATTGGACTCGGGAGGACACGTGTGGACGTCGTCCGGCCCAGATGCAATTGTCGCGCGGCGCATCCGTGCACTGGCTCAGGCGACGTGGGTCGCGTTGCAAGGCATGGAGAGCGGGTCATTCGAAGCAATGGTATGTGCAATTGCCTGTATTTTAATCTTATGATTTACCATTCCTCACTAGACGTTATTCTTACACCCACTGGAGCACTACGACTTCATCATCGAGCTGGATCCAGCCGTACTACCGCGATACGTCCAAAATGTTCGTGCGGACCCCGCGATTTGGGCGCAGAGGGCCAAGTATGCAAACACACGCGCGGACGCGGAAGACGTGCGACTGTGTCCCGGATTCGATCCTGCACAAGCTTTCTTCGATGATCTCAAGGTACGAGTCTGATATGTAGACGCGAGGGTATGCTGCTGATTGCGCTTTAGCGGGTATATAAGGACACGTTCATTTTGTTCTATGATCCTCTTGGTGGAGATCGCTTCGGCGCCGTGTGGGATCCCAGTCTCAAGGCGCCCCGTCCGTTCCGTGCACTTGGTGGGTTCTCTAGTGAGCCAATACGTAAAGTAAGCTGTGTCGCTTTCTCCAGTTCTATTTGTGCTAATCCTGACTGATAGGAGGGGAAAGCGAAGGACAAGGATAAAGCGCTAGTGAAGCTGAACGAGAATGCTATTCTCAGTGAAATTGAGCGGATGGGCGCTGGACTGGTCAAGAATATCGTTATTCGGGAGTAGGCCTGCGTCTTCATACTATTTACTTTCTGTGTGCCTCATCGTCCACGGTGGCCATTGATTCTGTCCAATTGCAAGTAGGCTCTGGACTAAGTTCGGTTTCTTATTGCTTGTAGACCATTGAGCAAGAACGGAGCAAGTATTGGCAGCACGCGTGAACATGAAAACAAGTACACAATTACCATCTACCTGAACCGATAACATCCTTAATTGTCATCTTCTTGCGGCAAATGGAAAAGCTGCTGTTTCCAATATCGAATTGCCTTGGCAGATGACACGTCGCTCGATTTTCTCTCTATACCTTGACTAGTTCAAACGTCGATGATCGCTAACGGATCCTTGCAACCATCATCCACATGCCAGGCACCTTCGGACTTGCCGTTCGAGTTCTCGAGCCTCTGGAGTTTGCTAGAGCCCTTTGCAGCTCGCACAAGTCCCAGTCGACGAGGACGCCCCCTCCGTCTGGCCCGATTGAAATTCCCCCACTTTTGGGCCGAGTCCACTGACACGCATATCTAAGAGTGTATGTACAACATCAGTGGACGAGGATGAGATGTTTGAGATTTCAATTCGTGGCAGATATTCGTTGTGGCACCCTCGAGCGCATGTTATCTAAACGCATTCGATGCTGGCGTAGCCGGAGGAGCATTTGGGACTGTGCTTGCGGGTTGGGTATGCCACGATGGAAGAATGCGGTAGTGGTTGGGTGCAGTCTAACCCCAGACACCTCGCGTTGAGCGGCATTTTGCGGACCGCACGGACACAGCGCAGCCGGGTTGAGCGCGTTCACGTGCGCGTCTCGAGCGTCGGGAGCATGGGGTTCGGCATGATCCTGCGCAAAAGCGTCATGAACATCCGGCGCGTACCGTCGTGCGCTACGTGCAGCGTTGGCGCACTAAAGTGACATTAAGATGTGTTCAACACGTCCAGGAACGAGACCGAAGAATTTCGAACATGCAAAGTTGAAAGCTACCATCGCAGGCAACGAAGCTTGTGGCCAGCAATAGGGGCGGTGTCCTGATCAACACTCGAGGAACTAGATACACTGTCTCAGGGAATTCGAAGACTGCCGTCTAGTTGCCCCCCTTCTTCTGGCGACGCTTGCTAGATCACGTACTCCGAGAGGATATCTGACCACATGGACGGACGTAAGACGTGCCTTCCTCATGAGTTGCCTGAGATGCTCGACTATGGCGAGTAGAGCATCTCAACTCAGACGTAGGTCGTGGCTCGCTTGTCGTTTTGCCCTGCACAAGACTTCCCTGTAACATAGAGCGCGACATTCGCCTTTTCTTCGACGCTCCCTCATTGTCCGGCATCACCTGCTCAAAATGGACCTCGGCATGAGCACGTTTTCTTGTCGAGCTAGTGCTGGCCAACGATTCTTCTCTCTTCCCACTTTGAGTCGAGAACGTACCCGATCCTATAGTAGCATGTAGTGGAGTTCCAGACGCCGCATTTCCAAGGATGTTTATAGGAGCATTCTTGGGCGCATGACGCCCGTCAATCCTGCGGTCCACTCTATCATTCTTTTCGAGAAGCCCCTCCAATGTTGAGGTCCATAGCTGACCGAGATGCGACGGATCAGACCACTTGGATTCGTTCTTGCGATTGACGGGACCATAGAGTGGCATGGCCGCATTCAGCGAATGAAGTGAATGGTAATACATGACCGTGTTCAGCCAACGATGAAGCGCGGGACTTTCGAAAGTAAAAATTTTCCGGTGAACCGCCGATCCAGCATTTTGACTGATTTGCCCATGCCGCCACCCTGCACGTTACCGCCACCGAACATCTCACGGATAGTCTCGGAGACGAGATGATCGCCGATATTATGTGCTCCCCATCGACAGCTGCAGTAGAGGACAACATACATGATAGACTCCATGTCGTCTTGCAGGGTATAAGCGGTGTACTTGTGCATATTCAGCTGGTTTACGGACATGAACTGCCAAGTGCCCCAACACTCCAAGATGAGATGATGACCACGTCAAGCTTTGGTGAATCCTTCCGTTCGTTCATATTCGCGGGCGTGTCCTTTATCGTCAAGCTGACACGAGAGTTCCCAGCCGATTAGGATTCCGCGTCGAACGCCATCTCCACGATTTCGACAGAGGATGACATTGCCCAAGCTGATGTTACGATGCAACCTATTGGCCTGGGCATACGCGTCAACCATTACCAAGATCACGTCAACACTATGGTTCCACAAGAAAATATGAAACAATTAACCATGATAGGCACAGTGAATGGCTTACGGTAACTCTGACTCCGTCCCTTTGAACTGCTCTAGGGGATAGCCCACTGTGGCCAACGTCACACGATAATGAACGCGCGAGAGCACGACAATACACCGCTTTGTGTCGTCCACATCTCCGGGTAAACTCCAGTGAGCGTCGATATACTGGTCAGTGAGTATACGATGCATGAAGTCCAAGACATTGTACAGCTCAGTCAATGGACAAGCGGAGCGATTTTCGGACTCGCTTGTATCCGTTGCCGACGACTTCTGTTTCCCCTTTAAATTACTCGGAACAGGAGGTTTCTGGAAGAGCACATCGCCATGGTACAGCAATTCGGGTATGTTCCGAATGCCAGCTTCACGCAACGCTATCAAGATCTCGCCTTCCCTCTCAAAGACATCTCCATGATAGCGCCACGCATCTTTCAGGAAGGCAATTTTCCCATCCTCACTGACCGCCCAATACCCACGCGTCGCCCGACTGGCCATAGACAAGAGCAAGATGACGGGGCGAGATATGAAATATTTGTGGACACCGCCAGATTGTTCATCATCAACGTTGACGACCATGACCGCATTTTTGATAAGAAAGAGTTTCGACGGCCCGCTTGAGCATCGTGGGGTCTCGGACGTCCTCGAGTAGCTGCTCTTGCACATGAGTTTCGATGACTTGCCTAGATAACTGTTCCTGCTCAAGGCTTGCAGGCTCAATCATCATTTCATACCCCCATTGCGCATCCGTGGTCGCACAATAATTCAGGATGTTTGTGAAGGTCGGAGTCTTCGCTAACAATTGCGCCCGCCCGACCACAGCGTATTAAACTAACATGGTTACCAGATACTGATACAGAAAATTAGAACGTGCGGTGTTGCCGAGCACAAGCCTCGGTGGCGTACGCGACATTTTGACCAAGCGCCTTTCGCGCATCATTCCGTATCTTTTTGTTTGAGATGTTAAGGACGAACTGATGAGTTGCACGATCGGCGCCCGGCTTAGGATCTGTGAAAAAGTCCTGCTTTGCTTCTCTCCTGACCTCGATGAAGAGCTCCGCATTACCAAGATGTGCACGGGGAGAACCGTCTCGGGTCCTCACTTTGTCGATGATAGTTTCCATATAGCAACAAACATCTCGCCGCATTGAACCCGTCCCAATCAATTCGCCTCTTGCAGCTGTCGTGTCAAATACAAAGCTAGGACACTGAGATCCTTTACTGTTTCCTTCCGCGTTTAGCGCAGACACCTTAAGATAGCGGCCTGAGCGCAAATTAAAGTCAAGTAGCAGCACTCAGTCAACTCACAAGAGGCGCATAGATCACCCGTTCGTCAGAAGCCACCTTTGGAATGTCCTTATATGCGTGCTATGGATGGCATGCAAATCCACTGAGTGGAGGCTAGTCCAGGTGGCATATACTGGTACTGAGAACTCCACACCTAAAGCAGGTAAGTCGCCCTTAGTAACTAATGCCACCGCTACAGGAAACCGCTACATCCATTTATTGGCACCAACCGCTCGGCAGTGCTCGACGTTGGACAGAGAACCTGCTGCATTGGGCTACGCGCTCCTTACAGCAATCTCAGAATCGATGTGCCGACCCTGAGAAAATACAATGGAGCTTGGGTGACATCGGCTGGTGCCAGCACCACGGCGGTTTTTGTGCCACCTGCGGTCTGAGTGTTTCCCCGCAACATGAGCTGTCTTCCTCCTCGAGTCGACGGTTGCGCTCTTAGCGATATGATTGGACTCAGACGGTATATTCATCCCTCTCAAAAGGAGCTGATTATGACAATGTCAAGTCATGCCAAACAACGAAATTGCCCGCGCTACTGGTATCAATGAGCAGAGAAAACTTCGTCATTATTTTCGTCCCTGCTATCCTCAACGAGGGCGACATGACTCTACTGAGCGACCCGCCACCTACAGCATCAAGCCGCCATCAGCCGAGGGGCCACCATGCTCCATTGTACAGTATCCTTCCAGGGGCGGCACGTCGATTTTGAGATCGCTGTAACGGTCGATTACAGCTCAGAAACATGAAGCTGATGAGTTGTGTGTCCTGTTGTAGCCAGATGAGCGCCACTGAAGCTGATTTTATTCTCTCTCTGCGTACTCCCGGTGTACCATGCCTCCTGGAACAACACTGCCCACCGGTACTCTTCTCCAGAGCAATTCCGGCATACGTCGTGCCATCTTTCAGCCTCGGATTCTCGCACAGCTCCTCCCACACGCTGTCCGCGTGCGGGTGCCATTGTGGATAAATTTGACGCGAGCCTTCCCAGCGGGGTGGACGGCGACAGTCTGATCAGGAAGGGACGCTCTTCAGATCTCGCTGCGCGTGGAAGGTGTGAAAAGTTTGAATATTTGAATAGTACGTCCCGCCCCCTGCCTCGAATTCCTCGGCCTTGCAGCCCCAGCGGGCGCCCTTCCCTACTTCTTCGATGGCGTAGGTTCACGGCTCATATCTCTTTCTCCACTTCCCGCACCGTGTAGACTGATAAGATATCGGCCGCAACAAAACGTCCATCAGCGCGTATTGAATAGAACCTGGCACACATGGCACCTTCGATGTACAACTTCATATCAAGCTTGATATACGTCGGACACATCTTCTCCCTTGGGTTCCCATCTGCGTGTCTTTAAATACGCCCCTTTATATTCCTTGCTCGAGTCCTCATGTCTACGACCTTTGCAAGCACTTCCTGCCTCTAGCATGTCGTCTGATCTATCTGCAGCAGCTCTAGCCAATATAATGTGAGTTGTCTACCGCCTGTGATCATGTGAGAAGATACTCGTAACTCACAGTCTATCGCAAGTCACCTGGACTATATATCCATCTACATACCCTGCTGTGCGGAATGTTTTATTTGCGTTCCATGCATTTATGAAAAATTCACATAGTGGTTCTTACTTTCTACGAGTACATGATCACCTTTTCCCTTGAAGTCGATCTATTCTGGTTGCGTCCTGTATCCGGGGCCACAATTATATTTCTCCTTAACAGATACCTATTCCTTTTCAATGTGGTAGTGAGTGCAGCGTGGTTTCTTCCTTTCACTAGGTATTTGGTGCGTTCTCTTGATGTACACCGTACCTTCTTGCGAAAACTCACGTTATCGCGGAGTAGAGGTTCGTCCGTGGCCATTTTAATTGTGGCATTACAGTGATGGTTTCAGCTGTGAGGTTTTGTTCGTCCTTGAGGCCGTTGCAGGAAGTGCAGCGATGATTGTCGCAACGGGTTTGTTTCACATTTACTTCGAGTTCCGTCTATGACTGAATACATCATTTGTAGTATTTGCAGCTCTACGCACATATGCCGTAAGTGGGTTCAATAAATGGCCCACATTGCTTGTGCTCGTAGTTGGGCTTGTGCCTACGACTATAAATATTGTGTGTATCACGTTCTTCTTGATTTCGACATATCCTCATGCTAAAGCAGTATCTCGATGTATTTGTTCCTGTATTCTCAACGAATGCTATAACGGAATGTGGATGGAATGTTTCCATGTCATCTTCTACTTTCTTTGAGTAAGAGCTTCATTCCAGTTGAGGTTGTCCACATGCAATAAACTAATGTAGTTATCTATAAAACAGCTGTAAATGCGCTACCCCCTCCTGCTTGTTGCATTTCTTCTTATGCTACTTCCTCTTTAGTGTTTCTCGTGTCTTTGCTATCAACCGTCATGATCGACGTGATCGCTATTGTGGTCACTTGGAGGCATACAATGCAACCGGGTTTGATATCTCGATTTCGTGATTTCAGACCGTCTATTTTATTGGTTGTTTTCAGAGATGGTAAATATTATCTCAATTGATGAAATACTTAAATTCTAATATAAAAAATCGTATAGGCATGGCGTACTTCCTGTAAGGCATTTTATAATTTTCAATACGTTCCAAGATGGTAAACTGAACATTGCATCCAGAACAAACCTTACATTGCAAATCTTATGTCTAATACTTACATATCCGAGTGAGGGTATGTTGGTGAATAGTTGTACATTTCTATCCCTTGATTTCTACTTACGTCGACATCTTTAGGATTTATTTGCATATGTGAACGTGTGAGTTATCCGTGGAATCTTAGCTTGAGTGTGTTGCAAATGCCCAGTGCCCATCTGCTCTCCTAGCATACCATACCTCCTCATTTCACGGTTCATGTTCAACCTTCGAATCGCCTCAGAATCTGCACGCACTCTGAACATGGACTCCCAGTTTAATTTTGAAGGATCGCACTTACAGACTATTCGCTTCGCGACCAGTCTTGTTGGAGACTTGAGCAGGCCTCTTGATCATGACTCGCTCTTCACTGTTGATGACGAGTTGGACGACGAAGATCACCTGCCCGAGCTGACCCCTGATATTCCAAGTAGTCAGACGAGTAGATCATTGACCCAAGGCGTGTAGTCCATGCCAAATGTTATCACGACGGTCGATGACGGTCGCTAAACACTGCTTTGTACGAATTTCCTCCTCCGTTGTGAACGATGGCACCCTCTCCTGGTTCCCTCATTTGTACCAGCGACCCTCGTCGAGCTTGCCTTGCCCACAATCTGAGCAGCCACAATGTAACCCATCTCTTGAATACACATCAACGACGCAACTCCTAATCTCGTCTCATGACATACATGCCAGCAATCGCATTTTTAGGAGTAACTACCCTCGGTCATTATGCATCAAGCGTGTTCAATACCCTACGGCCTCACCATCAGACGGCACTCGCGTGCCCACAATCTCCGCGCTCATTTTTCTGAGGCGTTCATCGATGCGCTGTGCATGCTGCCACTGCTCGTCTTTCGAACAGCTTCGATGGCGAGGAACGCATTGGAACAGGGCTCACGCGCTGTGCAAGAGACGAGGGGCGCGGTGGTCATCAGATGCAGGATCAATGTGCCTTCTCAATTATGGATTCGGACGCATGGGATTTAGCCATTGCATAAATGCCAATGGGCAAGCGCCGCCACTTGTCGCAGTAGTTGCCCATCTCGAGCTATTTGTTCCGCGACATGTTCGCGCTGCCCCAGCCCAAAGGCGACATCGCGGGAATGTTTGAGGGTCGTTCTTTTGTCTTTTGTCGCTCTTCGACCAAGTGGAGGGTGTGCGCACTTTCAGGGAGACGCTGTAGCCCTGGCACAGGAAAGCCTGCCTTCTCCGTATCAACCTCACTATACACTAAGACGACATAGGTACCTTTCCTCCATACGATTGAGAGCCAGCCAGCACAGAGAGCGTGCTCGCGTACACGACTAACTCGAACGTGGCGCTGAGGGAAAAAGTGAACGGAACCCCCTCTCCGCCCTCTAGTCCCGACAAGACTTCCTAGCAGGCAGCGGTGAAGTGGTCCTCGAGACACCGGCCATCTTGTCGACAAAGTTCTCCATGAGATTGTACCGCGAGTCTGCCACGATGTTCGCGAGGAGCAACACGTATTTGAGGTTTCTGCCACACATATCGTTAGTGCAAGTGGTGTCGTGTCCGACACTCGACTCACTCTGTCAAGGGCTGACTGGCGCCAGCGGTCTTAGCCGGGTGCGCACTTTAATTGTATATAAACCACGGATGCTGGACGACTTCGTGGATGGAGATTCTATCCTCAGGGCGATACTTCATCATCTTCTCTAACAGATCAGCAAAGAGCTCGACCTCGGCATCTTGCAGCCGCAAACCCGACTTCTCAAACATCCGCCCTCCGTCTGCGCCAGAGTCGTCTTGTTCTCCAATAGCGCGCAATCTGTGTCGAAGTGAGCTCTTCACCGCAGGCAGTAGCACACCTTCCCTTCTCTGATCCGCTTCCGGCTTTGGTACGCCTGTTTCGTCAAACCACACTTGTCGTTCCCGCCATAGATTCCACCATGGGTCTGGGAATCGGCCCAACATTTCGACGATCTGCTTAAGAGGGCGTCGCTGTAGAAGAAGGGGTCAAAAAGGGGTGATCCTGCACGAATCTCAAATAGTGTGCAGGCCAATGCCCAAATATGAGAGGCAAGACTGATTTTTGAGTCAAAATATGCCTCTGGAGAGATGTAATGGAGTGTAGTAGCGGGCACATAATCGAGTGGCGGGCTGTCTATAAAAAAAGATTGACCGAAGTCGATCACGAGGATGTCCTCTTGGAACAATGAAGGGAAGCAGAGTCAATGGGAGAAACGACCTCGGGGGGTGCGTGAGGATCCGGAGGAGACCCATCGCGAGTGACAACTTCCTCTGTTTCGGGGTTACCTAACATGTTGTAGACATCATCAGCCGACCACTTGCGGACCGCGTCGGACAGTCGAAAAACGACGTTAGCTGACGTCAGATCTATGCAGGCAAGTCAGCAAGTACGAAACCGGTGGATGAGATATATCGCACTGAGAACGAACCTCCATGGACAATCCCTCTAGAATGCAAAAACTGCACGGCGAGAACAACTTGCCTGGCAACCTTTCTCGCCAGATCCCCCCGAAGTCGCCTGCTACCAGATACTCTTCCCGGACACTCCGCCAAAGACAGAATGCTAGGTCCAGCAAGCGGAGAGACTATACAAATATGGGACCCATTAGGACCTTCTTGCATGAAACCGTCTCTTGGGAAAAGGATATGCTCTCTTCCTTGGTAGTGAGCGGTGCGGGAGACCCGGTCAAGTTCTTGAGGGATGCATAGCTCCGCAATCGCTGGCCCCGATTTGGATGAACGCTCTGCGGATAATATTTTTACAGCTAGAGGACCACCCAAGTCTTGTGAGTGCCCCCGTAGAGACTGCTCCTGAACGAGCCAGACAGTGGATGATCCTCCAAATCCCAGTTTATGCACGACCTTGTATCGGCTGCCAGCGAGGATGTCTCCAATTGAGACTGGGTGAAATCCACCGGGACAGTATCTCTCGAGATCCTCAGCACCATCGAGTTGAAAGGGACGGTATCCAGTCTGAGCGGTCGTAGTCATAGATCTCAACGATAGCGGACGTCCGAGTCGTAACAAGATACTTGCTAGCACAGACATTTAAGTATCATGAGGTTGAAGGTCACAGCGTTTTCAGAAACTTATAGGTTGTGAGCAGTAAAACCGAGGGTGAAAACTGCACGATGAAGACTTTTCGACGTGATCGGGCAAGAGGAGATTGCCACACGCGTTCGCTCGGTAACCAAGATCGTAATAGCGCAGCCACACACCTGGAGAGAACGGTCATAACATTGGACGCGTAACGGCAGCCCGCGAACCAGCGCATGCTGCACTGCCAATTCCGACTATATATACCTCTACTCATTCTCGAGTTCCCTAGTACTATGATATCGTTTCTCACAGCCGAATTTACAACACCAATTAGCAGGGAGGAGCCACACCACACCCTCAAAATAAACAACATACTCCCACTACTCCTCACATATCGGGGGACATTGCGAATATTATGTTGTTGGTCTACAAATATTTCACATGACGAGTGTATGAGTTAGCGTACAGCCAGAACCAACAAGGGCTATGCCGTGCATCTGAACCTGGACCCCACGCATACCTCTACTACCAGATTCACCTCCAAATGTTCCAAACCCTGAAGTGTGGGAGCCAGGGCGTGGGGGAAGGGCGAGGTTTATGCCGGTAGATGAGGATAGTGGCGAGAGTTCGAGCAACATATAGTTGATGGCCGATGGAGTCAATATGAATGGAGTATCGGCTACGGTTCTCGTAGCATAATAACGAGGGGAAGGGTGTAACGATGATAGAACTGCGACGTAATGTCTGATTCTACCGCAGCGATAGCCTGGGACGTCCATCGAGCGCGGGTCAGTTCGCCAGCGTCGCACCTACGTTCGCCAAGACGTCCGAACGAGCGCGAGAACGATACACGAGACAATGAGCATCGCAAACACGAGTTCCAATACCCGCTGCAGGCGCAGTTTCCAGCGCCCGTGCGCTTCGTCCGTCACCCGCCAATTCCTCTCTCGCACACGCCCTTCCCCGCCCTCCAGCGCCTCCAGCGCGAGGTCGTTGTCTCCTACCACACTCCTTTCCGAGAGCACCGCATCGGCGAGCGCGTCAAGAAACGGCGCGCCATCGAGGAAGCGCAACGGGACGAGGTTGAGGAAGAACAGCGACATGCTGAGCGTCTCGACGTACCTACGCAGCGACCATCGGGATACTCGTCAACAAGCATATACCCAGGGGCGTCCAACCACTCACCCGAAAAACGTGCCCACCCAGACGGGCAGGCGGACGGGCAGGAGGCGGTACCGCGCACCCCAAGCGCCGACATCGACTGTTGGAGGGCGTCACTCGGCGTGAGGCAGCGAGGACGAGGAGAGACATGCTCACCGTCACGCAAGATCTCGTGCTTGGGCCCGTTCCACACCACGACGCTGTCTGCGCGAGTGGGGACGTGCACAGCGAGCCGCGTCAGCTGCTGGTCCGGGCGCACTGCCGCGCAGACGTGGTGCACACCACAGTCAACGGCGGACATGCATCGCCGCGCAGGGGCAGGGGCCGTCGAATCGTCGAGATACGGCAGCGGATCGAGGCAGCGCTCGTCCATTGCGAGCGGGACATTGTACGATGCGAAGCAAGCCAGAGGCAACAGTGCAGAGGATGCACCTAAGCGCGCATCACAGCAAGACGTCGGCTGGTCTGGAAGGAGCGGCAGTGAGGAAAGGGACGCTCGGTAATCTCGGGGCGTACCTACGAACCAAGAGCGCTCGATGCACCACCCCATGGGAGCATCATCTTCTTGCAGCATTGGGTCAGCAGCGAGGAGGGCAGTCCAAAGGTCTGTCTCGGTGTCTGCAGCCAGGAGTAACGTGTCGTCGATCTTCGTCACGATCGCGCCGAGGGGGAGGAATGCGGCGAGGGGAGAATCCTAGGGGGCCATCAGTTGCAGGGGGTGAGCAGAGAGCGGTAGCGGCACCTGGTCGACGCCGACGACGACGCGGCCCCATGTAGAGACGTCCGTGTAGCCGAGCAGGGGCCACAGGGCGTGCCCGGTGCGCAGGGCAGCAGCTGCTGCGAGGACCGCGCAAAGGACGAGATTGTGGAACGCTCCAGCGGAGGCAAGGCGCATGCGGGCAGGGGGCGGGAGTGCGGCAGTGGCTGGGGCGGAGAGGCCGACAAAAGCAGAGGGGAAGACGAGGGTCAGCGAAAAGCCGGTAGAGAGCAGCGGGACGGAGTCGCTGGGTGGGGAAGGTCAAGACAGCACGGAGAGGGGAGTAAGAGAGGGGCTCACATTGCAGCGACGAGCGCATGTCCGGCTTCGTGGACGACCTGGGCAGTGAGGAGGGCAAGGAGCAGGACGGGAACGTGGGCGAGCGGGACGGTCAGACCAGGGATCTAGGCGGGAGCGAGTGAAGACGCCAACGGCCGACGCACGCACAGCTCACTCACAATCGCATGCACTGGCACCGCGCTGCGCCGCACCCCATCCCGCCGAGAAAGCGTCTGGCCGCCCTCCGCCCCGCCCACGAGCTGCGCCGCCGTCCACGCCATCAGCACGAGCGCACCAGCCATCCCTGCAATGGCCACCACACTCCCGACGTTGTAGAACATCCGGAGCACGTCGTGCATGCGCACATGCGTCACCCGCAGGCGCGCGAGCGCGGCCGTGAGCGCATCGTGTGCGCCGTTGAACGCGGTGGACTGCACACGGAGGTGCAGCGCGCGCAGCGACCATTGCGTCGAGCCGCGGAGGCGCCTGTGTGTGCGCGTGTGCGTGGTTGGGAGCGCGGAGGGGCGGACGGCGAGGAGGCGGGAGAGAACGTGGACGGCGAGCCAGAAGGCGGCGAGAGCGAGGGCGGGCCAAGCGTCCATGAACGGAGGACGCAGACGGGGGCAAGATAGGCGCCGAAGCTGCTATCGCGGGCGACTATATCACGTGCCCCGTATGCCAGGAGGCAGCTGCGTCGCCCTCGCGCCTGCACAGCACACTACTGTCGTCTCTCCTCTCCATCCCCGTCCTCCCTTCTCACATCGCCCATAATGAAGATATACTCGCTGAGCGTGCTGCAGGCGCCGCCAAACACGGCGTGCACGGTGCTGAGCAGCGCGAGCGACCTGAGTGGCTTCTCGTTCTACCAGCGACCGAGCGTCGGGGAGTTTATGTCGTTTTTCTCGCGGACCATCTCCGAGCGCACGCCCGCAGGCCAGCGGCAGAGCGTACAGGAGAACAACTACACAGCGCATGTGTACAACCGTGGCGGCGCGGAGCAACTCGCAGGTGAGTGCGTTTGTGCACATGCGTCCGCACGGCGTGCTAACGATGGGCGCGCATAGCGGTGGTGATCACGGACCACGAGTACCCCGTCCGGCCAGCGTTCTCGCTGTTGACGAAGCTGCTGGAGGATTTTGTGGCGAAGGTGCCCGCGACGTCGTATGGGACACCCGCGGCGATCTCGTTCCCTGAGGCGGAGACGTATCTGCGCAAGTACCAGGACCCGCGACAGGCAGACGCGATCATGAAGGTGCAGCAGGAGCTGGACGAGACGAAGATCATATTGGTGAGTGCGTGTGGGGTGAAATGGGCGCACACTGATGGCGCGGGACGGTGACAGCACAAGACGATCGAAAGCGTGCTGGAACGCGGGGAGAAGATCAACGATCTGGTCGACCGCTCAACTGCGCTGTCTGCGCAAAGCAAGATGTTTTACAAGACGGCGAAGAAGGTGCGTCATGTGCGTGCGTGGTGCGGGTCTGCAGTCGCTTATCAGCTATTTGTGCGACGGACAGCAAAATTCGTGCTGTGTGATCATGTAGAAGGCTGTCGCTGGATGGATCCGGACACAAGCACGCGTAGGACGTCGTTATGGGGGGCTGATTGCAAGCGGCGTAAATGATAGCCGGGGACGCTAGATGTGCAATAGTGTGTATAATTATACCCTGCTTCGACCGGTGGGCAAGTGAGCCGGAGGGGCAATAGGGTGCGGGGATGCTGGGGATGGCACGATTCGGCCGGGGATGGTCCCTGCCTAGAAGTGCTTGTGCGGTCTGCCTAGGGGGTTCTGGTCGTTCTCGCTCTCGGAGACTATTGTGCTATTGTATGCCAATAGATGTAAGTGTGAGAGGCAATACGCGACGCGGCACCGCCCACGTGTGCTACTTAGATTCGGAATATGATCACTACCACTGACATGAGGAACTGCGGTGCAAGCATGATAGATGGAAAGCGACAAGGGCGAACAAATGATATGTAGTCGCGGAGCGCGGGGATACAACGATTCGCCCGGCGCGATAACTTTCCGATAAGTGTGTCAATACGTACTTATCAGCGGGAGATGTCCGAATGTTGCAGCTGGAGGGTTCGGGTTCCCTTCTACATGGCAGCTGCAGTGAAGGCGAAGGCGAGACGGTGAGCCAGCGGAGGAGCGTGCGATGTGGGTTTTGTATGAACCCATTGCAATGCGCCACTTGGGTATATTGCGAGGGCGGGGCACGGAGGCAAAGACAGCTCTCGATCTTTCTGATCGAGCGGTACGCCCGGCGCATACAGCCACCCCAGACTGCATATAATCCC